TTGTAAAAACGATTTCAAGAAGACAATCGATATGATTCAACGTGTTACCTTACCTTTTACCATTTTCCGTATGATCCATTTCAAGTCTGCAAACAAGAATTATTTTATTGCTAAGAATGGTCAGCAGGAAAAGAAACTCGTCGCGGAATTGTATATTTTAAATGGAAAGATATATTCTTATTCATTAAATTCATTCGAAAGTTTTTACTTCATAACTCGTTATCGCGAGGGGTGGTTCTGTTTCGATGGAACTTTCGTTTCAATCCTTTGTGGCATTCGTAAGTAACGAGTATAAAAATGTTCACGTAATATTTGCGTCAGTGTACAGAAACACGCAACACGGGCTATCCTGGCTGACCGATTTCTAACAATTTTCTTTCATTAAATTGCGATAATGTAGATATATAAGAGCGAGTTCCACGCTCGCGGGGCATCGAATAGTGAGCGCGTCAGAAATATTCGATCGCGGGAAGAAAACGCGAGGAACGCGACGTATGTCCGTACTCGTACTTCCTTCAGCAATGCAATCCTCGCAAAAAGGCGACGCCAAGGGCTTTCCTCGGATCGTGTTTCGACGAAAGCAGCCGAGCGACGTTAATTTGGCTCGGCATCATCACCTATCGAAACACAGCTGTGTTTCTGAAATTATGGGACAACCAGCAAGAAAATTATTTTACATAAAAAGCTAAGTAGAAAATAATTTTTTTCGTAGGATATTGTTATCTAACCCATCGCGATTGAAAATGACTGCTACTGAATGGGAAGCAGCTCAATATGTCTGTCCGTAACCTACCATTTTTACTTCTTACAAAATTATCGAAATTATAGAAACCTAAATATTCAAATTATTAGATCAAAATTTTATTAATGAAAATGTTATTATTACATCAAAATTTTATTAATTGTTATTGAATCAAACAAGTATTAATGAAGTCTCCTATGAAAAAAATATAATCCTCTAATTTTTAAGATTTTTCACGTATTGGTCAATTTCTCTCGAGACCCTAGAATTTTGGAAACATCCTACATATCTGACGGCCAAGCGTTCGTCGGAACAAACGGAAATACCTGTGCGCGGGGCTGGAACCACGCAGAATGGTTTTTCGAGGCGGAACAGCAAAATTTTTTTCGTGTCCGTACAGGAAGGACGGAACTTTCACGGGTACACGGACTCGCGTCGCGGAAAATTTATGGACGAACGTAACCGATCCGGTTTAACGCGGCGACACGGAGGGAAAGAGATAGATAGAGAGGCACTCGGACACGGGAACTATTCAGGGCAACCTTGCTGTCGTCGTAAAAGCACCGGGCACATTATTAGGTTGCTAACTAATGAGAGAACATACCGAAGTGACATCCATTAATTTTTAGAGCAACTATAAGTAGTAATAATCGATAGAAGTAATGATTCTCGGAAAAGTGCTTGATATATATTTTTCTCCTTTTGTCGGTCACCGTTCGTATTAAAGTGATAGTACTCAACGTTGAGGGCGAGAAATGTAGAAAATCAAATATCTTAGAAACTAATAGGGATATTGTGAAAATACTATTGGTAACCTGGTAATTAGCAAGTATTGCAAAAACGCGATGGCAGCTTATAGTAACGACCACTGATTGTTATAAAATATGGATAAATAATAATGATCGGTAGAGAAATAATGGTTCTTAGAAAAGTGTTAAATACGGATTTTTCTGCTTTTGTCAGTCATCGTTCGTATCAAAGAGTTGGAAATAGTATTTCGAAATTTTGGGTGTGAAATGTACAAACATCTCAGGAACAAAGAGAGATATTGTAAAAATAGTGTTAACGAGGAATTGCCAATTATCGTATCCTTGTGCTGATTATTTTCACTGAACGTGACGGACCTAGACGAACTTTCACTGCACGAAACGATATTCCCAGCTGGTTCCCAGCGAAAACCGTGTACTTATAAACGACGCGACGGCTCTCTGTATCGATTAACGCTTTACCGGCCGTAACCAACCGCTCCAACGTCGAGAACAATAGACCGTGAATAAGTGGCCATTGCTTGCAGAGGCTAATATCGCCGGGCAACATTAGCGCTTGTCCCTCTCGACTTTTTCCCCCGCGGAGGAATTATATTTTACGCGGGCCGATTCAAGATAGGCAACGATCGCTTCGGGGCTTCCATTTCGTACTTTTCCGTAAATGCTTTAAAATAGTAGGGAACAGAGCTCTCGTTACTGAAAATCAATAGACAACACTGAACGATAATTTGAAATTGATTTAGAAAATGGTTATTCCAATGTTCAATTATTAACCTTTCAGAGATGACCTGGGACTGTTTCTCATACCTTTCACAACGGATATTTCTCTTTCATTATACAATTATTATCATTTCTCATTGTCTGTAATTATAGAGAACTACGAGAAATACTAAGAAATCTAAATTATCAATAGGTTATATTAAAATTGTTAACGGGAAGAGAAAAGATTCAAGTAATTGAGATTCATCCCACAAGGGTAGAGAACGATAGAAGATATGCCAAAGATGATTTTCCTCAGTTCACAAGAAGATGAACTGAAACCGCAAAGAGATGCCCGCTACTTGGCCCCTGGAAAATTAGGTCTGAGGCATTTAACGAAAAGATGGTATCTGACCCGGGCACGCTATAAAGGAAGAATGCAAGATGGCAGGCTCGCAGAGAGGAAGAGAGAGGTTGTTTATCGTCGGCGGATCGTGCAGGGGACAGCTAAATCGCGGGCTAGCTTCTTGGCCCAGATACTCGCCGCTCGATTGCTTCGCCGCCGATGAATAGCAATAATTCGAAGTCTCATCCGCCGGCAGGACGATCGAATCTCTGTCGTTGCGGGGCGTCGTTCCGCGGTGTCGCATTTAATTGAAACCGTCCGGCGAAAACAATGTTAATTGGATGACTGTCGCGTGCGACGGGAAACGATAACCGGCCAATTATTCAGAATATCGTCGCGACACGTTGATAAACCAATCTGCACTAGGCGTCCCGCGGTTCGTTAAAACCGTAAATTAAATTAATAGCCGTGTTACGTTGCTGCTGGTTGCCGGAAATTGAATATTATCTATTTTTAGAAAACTCTATCGCTCATTTCCACCGGCGGCGGGCGGGTTATTAAAACGAAACGTCGTCGCGGTAAGGTTATGTAAAGCTGCAACGTCGTCCGCCATCTTGTCGCTGCCGGGTCAGCGCGAGTCGGCCATAAATTCGCTGAAAAAAAGTTTCGCCGGGCACGTTAATTAGAGATAAGTAACCGGGAGATGAAGTTTCAGATGGGAAACTCGGAGAAACTCGAAGGAAATGGCTTAGGGGTAAAGTTTTAAGTATCGGCGAATGTTTCCGCCATTAGCCGAACCGAGCCACCCGGGCGACGAGGCTTTTCAATTTTTCCCCTCTCGCTGTAATTGTTAATAACCCCATTTCATCGGATGTCGTTTGTCACCGGATTAAACGGACGATCCTCTGGTCCGTTCTATTGCGTGCTGGGAGAACAAGAGGGAACGCGGCGAATTGCCCTTCCAATCATCCCATTATGCGAGTCTGCTTAGCTCCAGTGCCGCCAACTGCCCACGAAAGTCGGTCTCCCATTTGCGCGAGTGTCGTTGGAAGACGCAGAGTTGGTCTAAACGGTTCCACATAATCTCGGTAAATAATTGAAAGCAATTGGGGCGATTGTTTCGTCGGGTTGTATCAAATAGAGCATTTCATTTCCTCGACCTAGAAAGTTCGAGTAATTCTCTTTTGTTCTACAGCTTGTTTCTTGAAGGGAACATTGTGAGATAGACCAATGACCGTAACAGTAATATGGTAAACGTGGAATAGAATATATACAAGTGTCAATAATGTTCTTTCCCTTCGAACGATATAGAACAAGTTTCTTCAGAAACTCATACTACGAATTCTTCGTACAAATTACTATTATCAAAGAGTCTGCCCATTTTAATATAGGCCAGCAAAGTGATACTCAGGGTCCCTCAATGTCGAGTTGTACAAATCTCCACGCCGCCCACGCCCGCCGCTCAAAATTACGTATATCAGTTGAAACCGTAGTTGGCTGCATTATTCATAGGTTCATTATCAAACGCGCACGAATGTTAAGCTGACCTCTAGTTTCTGTCAACTCTGGTACAGTATTAATTGGACGACTAAATTATGCTTGCAGCGACGTCCATCCACGATTCTTTTACACATCTCTGAAATCATCTGCTCATACTTCATCCCAACAACGCTGACGTCAAATCTAATCCGGAAAATCCTTGTAAAATCATCTTCACTTCATTTCTCTATTCTCAAAAACTTGCTCAATCGTTTCTTCTAATCTATACAATAAACCCTATATAATCTGCTTCTATACAATCAGTGAACATACACTAGACGACCACTATAGAGTCCTCAGTTTATTAACACTAGGTTTACAGAACGCGTTAATTTCATACATATTAAATTCTACAAACATCAATTGGTAGTTAATAGTCCATTTTCCAATCCCTAATTTTCGGGATCTAAACAAACAGACATCAGTGTTTCTAGCAATAATAGAATAAAACGTTCACTAAACGTCCGTAAACGTAGTGTCAATGGACCTTAACGAAACGCAGGATAACCGAATGAAAGTAATTAAATGCGATCAAAGGGGATCGAATTAATCAAGCAACGAGTCCCCAAAAGCAGAACCTTGCTTCTGCGATTACGACCGTTAACAAGATTCCGCGAATTCAATCGTTTGACCCAGACCCCCATGCAAACTAAGCTTATAGAGCCGAGCGGCCGAATCCTCTATTCCGCTTTGAAGGGCTGACGAAAACAGCATGGATGGACCTAGGTCGTGAACTTCGTTACGCTTCGGAGAACCCGGTCCACCCGGGCAGTGTCAATGTCTCCGCAGGATATCCTCGGGTGCCTCGAGTGGCCAAGCAAGTGTCCGTTCTCTGTCCTGCTCGTAGGAACGGCGAGGGACCGTTTTGTGCCCGGTCCCCTTCTGGGGATTCTCCTGACCCCACCTTCTTCCCGTTGCAGTTGTCGTTTGTCGACTGCGGGGTCGGAGTTCATTGTGCCACAAGTGCATTCCCGAGTGGCCGGCAACGCCAATTGCTCGTTACGAACGTGAAGCCAGTTGTGAATCGGTCTGTGAAAGCGGCGGTGACGTCTCTCTTCTGTTCCCTTTCGTTCCGCGCACGGGATCCCTTTCCCGCACGGGATCGACGACGATCTTCGTTGGTTTTGTATTTTTCTTTTTTTTCTTATCCCGACCAGTGCACCGTTACGTAATGATCGTCCCGTCGCGCTGAAAATTTCAGTGCCGCGTCACTGTGAAAGCGGAGCCGCTTGTAAATTTGCAATCTTCGTGTGACAAGTTCTTCGGTGGAGGTTGGTTATTCGTCGAACGCGAGGCGAGGGGTGAGAGTGATTTTTTCAGAGAATGATTTGTATTCGTTTCGATGCTACGCCAGAGCTAAACACGCTGAAAGCTTAAAAATGGAGGTTCTATTCAACAGAATTTATTTCGAGAAAGTCGAGCTGGGAAATTGATACTTAGCACAATTTCTCATTCAGCTTCTTTATGGTTTTTGATGAAGATTTAATTTTCTAATGAAATATAGTACGTTGTAGTCACAGTCATTTATTTTTGAGTCTAAACGCTGCACGACAAAGATAATCGATTATTTCGCCGAAATCAGAGGCTCCTTGTGATACGCTCGAACGATCCTTTGTGCCCAAAGTTCACGTTAATTGCAGCCACTCCTAATTTTCTCGAGGGAACACCTCCCAGAAAGAATTCCGCTGTCTTCGACGTGTGAGAGCTTCGGCAATTAATCCGCGTAACCGAGCCCGACGCTTCCCGGGATTCTAATTAACGCACTCGTGCGACCGACGCGACGCACCGTTTCGCGCAGGCCGGTCATTAGCTTTGCGACGTTTCATTCGTTCCGTTGATTTTCGCGTGTCCTTCGCCGTCCATCCGGAACCGCGGCGATCGCGCGCGCGGGACAGGGGAATTTCTCGGGAATCACGTACATGCGAAGGCAAATCGCGTTGGTTGCACCAGGAGACCCCGGTAATTGCGGATTCCACGACGAAAATTAGCCGGTCATAAGAATTATAATTCTCCCATCGCGCCCGCGGCCACGGAAAGCCGTGAGAACGGGGCGATTTCCTTTAACGAGCGCTTCGATTCTACTTTCTTAACCCCCGTAATCGTGGCCGCAATTTGCAAACGATGCGAAACGTGTGACGGAATTTCCTCCGTTCGACGCAAGATCGCGTTACCGCGTTTACGAGCTTTTGGAACTCTTTCATTTCACTTTCCCTTAGCGAGCTACTCCAGTGATATTTTTATTCTTTTTATTAATCCTCTCTTCAATGGAATTAAACTACTCTGCTCTTTTTTGTATTCTTTGAATCCGTTGCATTCCAATATGACTTGATGTTGTCTTCTATATCGTTTACGCTGCTTCTTATCAATCAATTGCACTTCAAAGTAAACTTTAAATGAAGCAATTCAAATAATCCAGAATGATTGAAAAGATAATATAAATAAAATTGTAAATTGTTACCTCAAACATCTAAAACTCTAATAGTATTACATCAAAATTTTCTGTGTACTTTGCATAGACTATAAGTAGTTTACACCAATCCTGTGTCCGAACATAAAACAAACCGCGAGTAAGAGTGGAAACAGTTAAACGGTGTGTTTCGTTGAACGGTTGTGTTTATTCGGTCGTTTCAAGCGAGTGGCGCGAAATTGCTCTGAGAAATTGCTCGGAAAGAAGATAAGGACTCGTGTTGCGCCCACGTGGCTGATTAGTCCGCGCAGTTCGCGAACGGGTTCGACAGAATTTTGCTGGAGCGTCGATCATGTAACACCCGGTGACTTTTTGCCGCTGCCCATCCCAGGTGAACGCAAAATGAAGTCATTCCTGGCGGGTAACTGGTTTACGAGACCGGGGCAAGTGTAATTGCCCACGGATTTTGCATTCTACGGGCGGTGGAGGGATGCTGCCCGAATGGCACTCGCTCTTGCAACTTTCCATTCGCGATAAAAAGATACGCGGTTAATTCGACGGCAGAGATGCCTGTAATCTTCCTCCATGAATATTGGAACAGCGATTAGATAACTTTTAGATTTTATTCGTGGGCTTTATTAGAAAGTCAGAAGAGGAGTTAAATAAATGCGTCATTTCCTATTGAAAATCAATTTTATTTTATGCAACCTATGAAATTCTAACTCTGTTTTTCGATAACTTCGTCTTTGAAGAGTTGTCACTTGATTAGACGTTTATTCTTGTAGATTTTTAGAAGATTGAGGCAATAAGCTTTCATCTAACTTCTTGCTGCAGTGATCCATTGGTACTTCTAATTTTCGTAGATATCGGAGTTTCTATAATGATCGAAATATACCTGTTAAATTAAATATAAGTTTTTGTTCATAAATACGGGCTGAACACAATGTACTCGCGATTGCCTCAGTGGCAATTGTATTCCAGCAGGAATGGTTACAAAATTTCGCGAAGAATTTCACTTAAGTGCACGTGAATCGATAATCCTATTAAATATCCAATTAAACTGTTTCTTTTATTATCCCGGCATACTTTTAAAGGCTGTAAACGCATAAAATCTGCACAGTCAGCTCGCCGGTAATACGCAATCAGATTAAGTTATGCTCAACTCTGACTTCTACCGGTTAACTCAGATTTCATTAGTCTTTCTAATAAATCATACGAGTCGCCCCGGCCTGTAACGTCTATTAGATAAGAGCATTTCATAATCGACAAGATGGTGCCTGATGGAAAGAACAGAATCCCCCGAACATGTCCATTAACTCTGAAAATATCCGACGCTCTAAACTCTAAACGATTTGCCTCGACGCACTGTTTCACAGACATTACCAAAGCTTATCCGCGACTTTCGTCATTACATTATTACATAATTAAACGAATTAATTCCGTTCCCTAAGAAAGTATCCTTATGGAACCGGTGGTCGTAAAACAACTTATAAATGAGTCATTTTCTATCTGTCTGGCGCTTAAGGTGTTGCATCGTGAACAGATTCTGACGACATGATCGACCGATCGAGCACGATTCATCCGCGAAACGTGTCTCTCCATGAGAACCTCGGCGAGACCGTATCTCATTCGAAATAACTGACATTCCTTGGCAGTCGGTTCATTCAGCGCGCGCTACGATGACAAGATAATGTATTGTGAGGGCTGCTAGCGGTAGCAAGGATGACATTTCTCACGATTCGAACAGCTGCGTGGCCGAAAGAGCGTTTCGAATCGTGCAGTCGTTAAGGGACAAAAAAAAAGACGCTGGAAGGAGATTGAACTAGAAACCACATGTGCCTCGGTGGAAGTTAGTCGGAGGCGAGAATGGAGCGGTAGTCAGTGACATTAGAACTGGATGAAAGTGTCGGCCCGCGGATAAGTCGGTTTC